AACAAACATAACATACACAATGATTTTGGCGCGATTTTTAAAATTCACAAAATACAATTTTCTCCATAAATTCTATAATTGATCAATTTTAAAAATCGCGCCTAAATCATTTTTGTGGTTATGTTTGTTCGGTCATTTGCAAATTCGGTCAAATTAAATTTCAGGAATTCTATATCATAATTAAAAATACCGAGACAAGGAAAATTGGGCGAATTGAAAATTTTGTCATTTAAAAATTTAAATCAAAATTTTTCTATTAAATGAAAAATCTGCTAAATTAAAATTCGGTTAAAGGGAAATTTTGCAAAGGAGAAATTTTCAAAACAGAAGTTCTGTAAAAGAGAAATTGTAAAAAATAAAAATTCAGTAAGTAAAAATTTTTTCAATTAAAAAATTCGTTAAAACAGAAATTTCGTCAAATGCAAATTCGAAAAATGGAAAACCGCCTGGTAAATTAAAATTCAAAATTAAAATTCTGCAAAGGAGAAATTCCCAAAAAAAGAAATTGTGGTTTAGTATCAAAACATTTTTTTTAATTAAAAAATTCGTTTCAAAAGAAATTCTGTCAATTTGTGCTATGCGAAAAATAAAAATACGTCCAATAGAAAAAAATTCTATTTACAATAAAAATATTTCAAATCAAAATTTTAATTAATGAATTGTGAGGGAGAATCACTCAAATAAAATTAACACAAAGAATCTAAGAATCGAAGGAAAACCCAATGCTTAATGAAAGTTCCTGATTTAGAAATGTATCGGAACAAGTCACTATGATAAAGTTGTTATTTGCATTTGAATCGTGAAAAGGCGATATGTCACTAGTAATCAGTGAATCTGTCGATACAGACGGGGTACTTTTGGGCTAAATATATATATATAAACGTGTGAGAGAGATGGATAACCATCGATACATGGTAAAGCTCAATTTACATAACCCGTGTTGCTGGGTTTGGAAAACGAAAAATGGTGTAAATTAGAGGAGGTTGCACAAACCTACTGGTGTATAGAGGGAACCATTGCGCGAACGAGATTCGCCATACGCGTTGACAGGAACTGGAAATCAGAGCGAGCGGCGAAACGCGTGGAAATTATGTTTATCCATAAATCCTCGGCAATCTCGCTTTTAAGCGCAACGTGTGTATATGTGTGTGTGAGAGAGAGAGAAAGAGAGAACCCTGCACTATTTCCGAACAATTTTGAACGATCGCTCGCGGCCGATGTAATATACGTTTAATTATTTTTCCACTTTCAAGTATAACGCCGAGAGCTGCGTATATTTTCAACTATATTTATTTCCTGTCGCTTCTGTCATTCATTTCAATTTAATATATTCACATTTAACACTCTCCCCTGCTCCTTTTATATAATGGAGGCCACACGCGCAAATACTCTCATTTTTTTCTCCCTATTTCTCTCTCTCTCACTTTTTTTTGTATACTCGAAAATTACTTTTTATATTATTAATTGAAATCATCAATTTTTCATTTCGCAAAAAAAAAGAAAAAAAAAACAGTATCATGTTTCTGATGATAGTAGGTTTAATGGTAAAAACAATAATTCAATATCGAGTTGGGAAATGTTTTTTTTTTGTTGAAAAAATCATTAATTTCCTCTCTAAATCTGAATTAGTAAAAATGTTTACTAATTTGAATTAGTGACTTACTTTTTGCTTCTGAATTAGTTAAATTTTACTAATTGTTAGTAAAAGTTACTAATAATTAGTAAACTTTTACTAATTCAGAAGCAAAAAGAGAGTCACTAATTCAAATTAGTAAACATTTTTACTAAATCAGATTTAGAGAGTCGATAGTAAATTCATATTCATATCGCAAATTAGGAAGTAACTTTTGTTTTGTAAGAGATATAATAAAAACAAAAATTGTTCGAGTGAACAATATTGTTTGGTTTATAAAATTTTGAACTAGTTTTCTTTATAAAGAGAAATTAAATATTTTCAAATTAAAAGAACCTTTGTTTCTTCTTACTCTCTAAATTTAAATAGAATTCGTTTTCTAATTTAAATTAGTAAAAAATTTCTACTAATTTTTTTGGCATTTTCCACTAAATATTTAGTAAAAAAAATATTACTTAATTAAATAGTAATATTTTATTAAATATTTAGCAAAAAAATATTACTAAACCAAATAGTACACTCTAAATCTGAATCAGTGAAAATTTCACTAAATTCAAATCAGTGGCTCAGTTTTCTTTAATTCGCCAGTCGAATTTCACTGGGAATCAGTAAAAATCACTGATTCTCAGTGAAATTTAACTGGAGAATTAAAGAATACTGAGCCACTGATTTGAATTCAGTGAAATTTTCACTAATTCAGATTTAGAGTGTACCAATTTACTAAAACATAGTGAAAAGTTCTACTAATTTTCAGTCATATTTCACTAAAACGTTACTAAAAAAAATATTACTAAATCAAAAAATAATATTTTACCAAAAATAAGTGAAAATTTCTATTAATTTTTAATCTTATTCACTAAAACTTTAGTAAAAAAAAAAATAAAAAATATTACTAGGTAAATCAAATAGTAATATTTTATTAAAAATTTAGTGGAAAACTATTACTAAATCAAATAGTAATAGTTTACTAAATATTTAGTACAAAAATTATTATTAAAAAATTTTTAAAAACTAAAAATTAGTGAAAATTTCTACTATTTTTTTAAAGTCATTTTTCACTAAAAAATTTAGTGATTTAATTTAAATTTATACTAATCTGAATTATTGAAAGAATTATCACTAATACAAATTTAAAAAGTGAAATAAGAGTATTTTTTTCATACAATAAACCGGGTTTTAAATTTTTGAATAAAAATAATTTTTTTCAATAAAAATCAAAAAATCGTCCCAATTTGAAAAACCAATTTTCAGAGTTATTTGTATAAAATATTGTTTTTTTTTTCAAAATACATTTTATTTTCCCATTTTATTAGATTTATATCAAAATCGATCCATAAAAATATCAGTCAGCAATTATTATCAATGAATAATTGAATGTAAAATTTATGTTCCCATGAAAGATCATGAATTTTCGACTAGAGCGTAATAATGATTTTATAGATTCATTGAAGCCAAGGTTTAATGCATTTTCTAAAAGGGCAATAAAAATAGTTACACGCTCATAAAAAAGATGCTGAGCTTCATATAATTTTAATTTCTCACCATTCAAAAAAAAAAACCATGTCTATTCAATAGAAGAAAAAAAAAAATTTCCTCAACAAATTTTTTTGTTTCAAATTCATAAAATAAAATATACTTTAGTAACTGAATTTATAATTAGAAAATTGGCTTTAAAAAAAAAAAAGAAAGAAAAGTTTTGCAAAATTTAATACAAGTGTCAGCATATTGTACGTGATTTTCCCTTGTACATATATTACCCTCTCGGAGAAAGGAAATGCAATCGTCAGCGGTTCGTTTCAGTAATGGAGTTCCGCGAAAACTCGAGACTGGGTTGCCTCCGAATTAAGTTTCTACCAAATCGCGTTCCCTGCCCTCTGGCAAATGCCAGTTGCAAAGCATTCAAACGTGTGTGTAGGTCAATTCCTGCTCGTCCAACTACGAAATAAAGGTTTTCGACTTTCGAAACCTCATCGTTGTTAACTTCCGATCAACTATTTTTTTCCCCCTCCCAATTTCAAATAGGAAGAAAAAAAACCTCCCTATTCGATATTCAAGTGTACCTTTAATTTGTTTGCTTCTCTATATAGAGAGGCAAAAATAAAGAAAAATCCATCAAGAAAAAAATACCATTTCCCTTTTGCGGAACTAGTCAATTTTTCGCATTTTTATTTCTATTTTACGTTCGATTAATTTCTTTAACTTGAGATTCTATATTCTGTACAGAATCAGCGAGACTCGATCGAGAAATATATAAATAATTATTTTAACACTTCCGCTAACTAAAAACATATTTCATTTAAATATATGAAACTTGTTATAATTTAAAAAAAAAAATTCTTTTTGTAATATATACTCTCTAAATCTGAATTGGTAAATTTTTTTAACTAATTTGAAATAGTGACTTACTTTTTGCTTTTGTATTAGTTAAATTTTACTGATTCGATAGTAAAAAAATTACTAATAATTAAAATTACTACATAGATGGTTAAAAAATTAACAAGATAGAAAATGTTGAAAAATAAAAATATAAAAAATTGCCCATCTAGAATTCTATCTTACAGACTGATGGTAAAAATTTAGAAAAATATAAAAAAATTACCGACACAGAAATCTACCTTACCGACTACGATAAAACAATTTTTTCAAAATATAAAAAATTACCGACATAGAAATCTATCTTATCGATTAATGGTAAAACAGTTTAAAAAAATGAAAATATAAAAAATTACCGACATGGGAATCTACCTTATCGACTGATGGTAAAAAAATTTGAGAAAATTCTAGGGATTTTTTTACCATCAGTCGATAAGATAGATTTCCATGTCGGTAATTTTTTATGTTTCTATTTTTGAAAAAATGTTTTACTATCAGTCGGTAGAGTAGATTTCTGTGACAGTAATTTTTATATTTTAATTTTTGAAAAACATGTTTTACTATCAGTCGGTAAGGTAGATTTCTGCGTGGGTAATTTTTTATATTTTTATTTTTCTAAATTTTTTTACCATCTTGTTAATTTTTTAATCATCTATGTAGTAAATTTAATTAGTAGTATTTTTTACCATCGAATCAGTAAAACTTAACTAATACAAAAGCAAAAAGTGAGTCACTATTTCAAATTAGTTAAAATTTTCACTAATTTAAATTTAGAGTACATTAATAAATTTAAAATATACAACGATATATTTCAATTGACATTTCTGTCAATAATTTACATTAAGAAAAAATTAAACATCAATCTGATAAAAAAAACTGGAATAATGGTTTTAGTTTAGCGGAAACTCAAATTATAACATTATATTTAAATTAATTATTTAATTTTATATAGATAATTATTGTATATAAATAAAAATAAATAATAAAAACTCACATCGTATTTCCCCTGGATATGTGGTCCAGCTTGAGCGATATAAAGTGTGCTTGCAGTGTCGAAAACCAATTCCTGCGGTATCCTGATGACTTTTTGACTTGACATCTCATGACAATTTAGATAAAGTGTGATGTCCGTTGTCGTTACTTTAATCACAATTTGTGACCATTTCTTCGTTAATTTTGGCAATGTAAATTTAACAATATCTTCGGAATGTGAATGCTCATCTGAATTTGTGTAGACGAGAGAAACATTTTGATTGGATGCTGGTCCATCCTAAAGACAAAGAGCGGTTGTTATTCAAGCAGGGTAGTTTGGGTTTTAATGTAATGGAGACAAGTTTACATAATTGATGACAAGGAGTTAACTACCCTTGAGATTAATCATTAGGGTGATTCTCTATGATAAGGGGAGGGAGGGGGAGGGGGCTTGATTTCATTGTCACTGTTTCCCAACTTTGAAATCCTTCGTAATATACAAAATTAATCATAAAGACACGTTAGTTTATTGTTTTGAATAAAAATAAATCCTAATATAAACAAAATTAAATCTATATTATATTAAATTAATATTAGAAAAATTAAATTAATTTTAAATCATTAGAAATAAATTTTATTTAAAAAATTTTTAATAATTAAAAGATTTGTATTTCCATTAAATTTCATGAAAGACTTTTCAATTTAGATTAAAATTTGCAAAAACCTTTTAAAAGTATTATATGTACTGTATATATGTGAATAGGCTTTTGAAATGGATTGACTTTAATCACGTTAGATGTACAATCGAAGAATTGAATTCTGACGAACTCTGAAATCCACTCTTTCTCTCTCTCATATACTCGTGTGGTAAACTATAAAGGCTTCACAAGGTATAAAGTTCGACTTTGCATAAGGGTGTTTCAAAAAGCATTTCTAGTTCCAAACACGTTCGAACCAGGCGTAAACAAAGTTAGCAAACGCGAGAATTCGTTGAAGGCGTTGAAGTGAAATAGAGAGATAAACTGAGACGATGTTCTCAACATCAATTTCGGAGGGAAAAAAAACGAAGTTAAAATTTACACAAACGACTATTTTTTATTAGTATTTTTTTTAAGCACACCAACTATTAAACTAGAAAAAAAACTAGTTTAACACTTGTTTTTTTATATTCTTCGCGGAAATACAAAATCTCTGCACTAAAAAAGTTTTTTAAAAAAGGAAAAAAAAATCTTAACATATATACGTATTGAAGAATTTAAATTATTTATGTAAAATTTTTAAAATATCTTATAGCTGATTTGAAATTGATTGATTTAATCGTTATTTAATTTATTTATAAGTATATTTCAGAATATGGTACATATTGATGATAAAAATAACGAGAAATTCAATGACCAATGACTGAAGGAAGCTGTTCATTTTTCTTTTATATGATTTTTGCCGGTTAACTTTAAATATCTCTCGAGCGATAATATTAATAAACTTTATGTAATCAATAAATTGAGAACGTTTGTATTCAAAAATGCAGAGCTCGAAAATAAATATTTATTTGACAATTAAAAATAACAAATATTATTAATAATATCCACTGGAAGAGCAAATATTAAGTTTTAGGAAAACAAATTTTAAACTTACAAAAATTTTTATTAATTAATTGTAATTATCCTTCAGTGAATATGATTAATAATAATATTTTAATTTTTGTATCGAAAATAATAAAAAAAAAATGATTTTTCAAAGAATTTTTTTTTGTTTAATGAGAAGAAAGTAAATATATAGAAAAATAAATTTGAACTCACCGAAATACGAATACCAAGCTGAACGACGGTATCGAAAGGATTGAGAACTGCAAAAAGATAGCTTGGCCTAGTAGACTTGGGCTTAAAAGTCGCAACCAAGGTGAATTCGGCCGGAAGTTTCTCAGGAAGGTAAATTCTATATGGTTGCTTGACTTCGGAACCTGGACGAAATCCGAAGGCTGGAAAACCATCCAAGCCTTCTTCGAAATATTGAAATCTGTCGTCAATAACTGAGACAGCCGCTTGTAGTAAATCATGTACCAATTCTGAAAAAAAGAAAATAAAAATAAGAACATTTCTTTTTTTCACTTATAGATATTTTTATCAATTTATAAATTAAATTTCAGATTTGAAAAAAATATACAGTAATAAATAATAATAATAATAATAATAATAATTAATAAAAAAAATAAAATAAAATATTAGAAGAAACAAAAAAGTTAATTTGTCGATAGAAAAATAAAATCGAATTCAATTATCTCTTTTGGTTTAGAAACTTAAATTCAATTACTTATACATTCTATGGGACAAACTATATAGTTGGAGCGGGGAAAAAAAGTAATTTTATATACGTCAAGCAAGTTTTTAGATAAAGGAGCTAGCTGGATATAAATCAAGTATATTAGCCTTCAAGCTTTTGTGAAATGGGCCCCGGGTGGTTCAAGTAATATCAAACTTGCTGATAAGGAAATTAGTCTACGTTCTCGGGTATTGTAAAAACATAATTGGTCATTTTAAATCTATATAATTTTCGAGGGTACAATTTAGAAGAAAAAAAAATCCCATACTCGCAATTTACTCCCTTCTCTCTGATAACAAATCAATTATAAAATGAATTATAATCAAAAATCCATTAAAAAATTTTTCTGTTAAAATATTTTTCATTTATTTATTTATAATTGTATATTTCAAAAATTCTAAATATCCATTGTTTGTAATTTTTATGATAAAAAAAAAAAATTACAACAACAGAAAATTGGATAAAATAGAAATAATAATAATTTAAAAGGTAAATTGACAAAAAAAAAGGTTTATTTAACACGGAAACTTTAATTTCTAAAACGAGAGCACAATATATACACTTTAAATTCTATCTCGTGATAATTAAACGTGATATAATACCTTCGTGTTATGCGACGAAGTTACTACCGGTAAAACGACCACCAGCGATTGCATCGTATTCATATAGTTGCATTTACTGCAATACGCGATATTACTTTGCTATTCTAATTTGCCAACAATTTAACAATTTGTCAATGTTTCCCCTCATTGAAGTTTTCACATTATAAATTAGTCATACAATCAACGAAATCTATATTATATATATATATATAAATTATTTACACACTGAAAATAATAACAATAATTTCTACACCCAGAGAAATATTTTATTTTCATTTATTTTAGACAAATAAAATTTATTTGAATAAAAAAAAATATATATTTGTCTCAGAGCCTATAATAACTTTTTATTTATTTCAAATAAAAAATCTAATTTAGAAGAAATAAAATTTTTTTATTAGGGCAAATAAAATTTTTATTTTACTCGAATATTTATTTGACTCTGAGACAAATATGCGTTTATTTAATTCAAATATATTATATTATATCACCGTCCGACACAATTTTTGACCCACAAAAAAATTTAACATTTTCGGAAATTAGGACCAAAAAAAAATACTCGTATCTGGGCGTTTTGCTAAATCAAGTCATTTGTGGTTTTTAGAGATGAAAACAACCCCTAAATGAAAAGTGACAAGATATCTATTTAAAAATTATTAATATTTTATAAAACTTGGTATCTGGGGGTTTTTGGGGTCACTGATTATTAATCTGATGTCAGATTTTCAAAATTCAAATTGGCGGATCCAATATGGCGATCAAATTTTTAAAAAGTTATTAATTTTTTATTTTATATCAGCCATTTTGAATTTTGACAATTTAACATCAAATTCGTCATCAGCGACCCAAAAAACTCCTAGATATCAAGGTTTAAAAAAAATTTAATAACTTTTTAAAAGTTTGACCGCCATATTGAATCCGCCATTTTGAATTTTGAAAATCTGACATCAGATTAATAATCAGCTTTATATCAGATTTATATCAATTATGTATCAAGTGTTAATTGAACCGTTTAGTGCATATGTGTTATTTTTTATTTTTGTGGAATTATTCTTTGTATTGTCACTGTTACTCTAATTCCCGAAACAAAGGGTAAAAATATCGAAGAAATTCAAATTTTGTTCAAGAAAAAAATATTATGTTGTAAATAAATTAGTTTTTTTAAATAGGAATTTATTTAAAAAAAAAAAGACTTTAAATAGACTTAAAAATATTTTTCCGTTCTCAAAATTCTGAGGAACTATTAGTTTTAAAAAAGTGGGAGGAGCTAAAATAATACACGCCCTAGTGGGCGGAGCAATTTCAAGTAGATCACGCCTCATGGGGAGGAGATAATAAAGTCCCGCCTACTGTGGGAGTATCTTATAGGAAACCACGTCTATATTAGCAAAGCTACTCCCAAAAAGGCCGGAATTATAAAATAATTAAACGCCCTTTTAGTTGAAACACGCCCACTATGGGAGTGGCTTATATGAAACCACGCCCATATTACTAAAGACACTCCCTAAATGCATGAGTTGTTAAATACTCCCAAAAGACCGGAGTTAAATAATTAAATGCCCTTTTACTTAAGAGACGCCCACTGTGGGAGTCACTTTTTGTAAACCACGCCCATATTTGAGAAGTTATTCTTCCTCTATTCATTCTCGTTGAAATTTAGTTCAGTCTTTTGAAAAATTTAGTGGGTGGGGTTAAATTCTGACACGCCTAGAAATGGGTACGACTGTTTTAGAAATTAGAAGACCTTGAATAAACGTTCTAGAAATGAATTTATATTATTTTTTAACTGTATAAATGTATAATTATAATACAAATAATAATTTTTTTATTTAGGGGCTGTTTTCACCCCTAAAAACCACAAATGACTTGATCTAGCAAAACGGCCAGTCACGGGTATTTTTTTTTTGGTCCTAGTTTCCAAAAATGTTGTATTTTTTTGTGGGTCAAAAAAAAAGTTGAATTTTGTCGGACGGTGTTATATTATATTATATATTATATTTGTTTCAAATAAAACATTTCTCTGGGTGAAAATAAATATTTATTTTATTTATGTATGAGTTGTATTAAATTTATATTATTTGACACCAAAAATTAAATGAAAATATCGACTTTAAAAAAAAACAACTTTGATGATTGTTTAGCGATATATATATTTTAAATAAATTTAACGTTTCAAAATATTAGGTCAAAAGTTCATATATTTTTATACAGAAAAAGATTTTTAACTAAGTTTTTTTTTCGCCCCATAAAGAATAATTGATCTTGTGGCTTTCGTCTGTTTACCTGTGGGCAATGTATCATAGGTATATACAGATCAGACTAGTGACATTTGATACACGTAGGGTTTTCAAACAAAAGCACACACATATTCGATAATCAATATTTACGGTTTAAGAACAAATTTTAGCTGAGACAACAAAATTACATTAAACATATTTAATCCCTTTATAAAATATCTAGTAAATATATATACAAAATATAATATATAATATATTGTAAAGACAAAAATGATTTTCTCTAAAAATAAATGTTTATATTTTTTTTTCTTTCGATTTTGATAGAAAAAAAGGCTTTATTTTGAAACACACTTTCGTTTATGTATTCGGAAAATATCTAAAGGATGCTTTTAGTAACAAGGGTTGTAAATTTTTCATAGTTTGACAAGACCTATTTATATGTATTTATCCAGGACACTTGAAAGCCTAAAAGGAATCGAGATGAAAGCGGATTTCTCAAAATACTTAGAGTGTAGCTCTGCGCACACGTGTGCACATCTCACGATGTGATTTTCCATTGCAAACATAGGACACATACATATAACAAAAAAAAAGGAATCCCAATGTTTTATCAGAGAATTTTCCCCAAAAAAAAAAAAAAGCTTTTCTCTATATGAAACGAAAAAGAGAGCGTATTCCGGAAAACCGTTACATTTCCCCAATTTCCGAAAGCCCAGATTCGATTCTCAATCGGAAACATTCAAGACATCATATGACATCAATATATATATATATATATATATAGTGATTCGATTTCTATAAAGAGAATATATATACATATATGTTCAAGTTTATAACCGAGAGTATCGATTTTATGCGTATGGAAATTACAACATTTTTATTACTATATCTAAAAAGAACTGCATTCTATGGTTTAATTGACAATTTTTTTTTCTAGATTGGAAATATTTCCAAAAATGTTTTATTCATCAAAAAAATGTGTTTTCTTTTTTCTCGAAATATTTTTCATTTAAAAATTAATAATTTACTATATAAAAAATAAAAAATAAAATAAAATTATTTTTATTAAAATTTATAGAAAAAAAAGAAAAAATTCAACAATCCGTTACTGATTTTTATCTTTTATATATTTGTAACAATAAAAACAAGACTAATCTTTAAATACTTTTGTTAAATGGTACTTTTATACTTTAATCCTATAGAATTTCAAGCATGTAGAAAAAAAAATGAAAAAAAAAAAAATAAAATAATTTTAGAGGATTTAAATTTTAATCTCGCGAAATTAAGTTCAGAGATAAAGGGACAGATGGCACCAGCTCCCAGACTAACGGATAATTCCTGGATCGTTGTTACAGTCACTGCCTACTTTATGACATGGGCCACATTCTCTCTTTTACTTTTATTTCGCTTTTTTTTTTGAAAAAAAAAATTTTGAAAGTGAAATCCTATGAAAATAGTTTGTTTTTTTTAATTTATATTTTCAGTGTATTTATTTTTTTTTATTCATTTTTCTCCACATTTACTTGATATTATTTACTCTGTATAAATAAATAAATATATATTTCATTTACTTTATTCTTTTATTTATTTTATATTTTCATTATTTATTTTATGCTTTTTATTTATTTTATACGCACGTTGCTTGTTTACAGAGAAAACTGATTCTTTATTATCATGTTTATTTGTCAAACATGTGTAATATAAATTTCTAAATTAAAATTAATAAAAATTTTAACTAATTTGAATTAGATAAATTTTACAAATTCGATAGTAAAAATTTTTTTTTAATATTAATTAGCTAAAATGTTACTAATTTGGTAGTAACATTTTTTAAAATTAATTAGTTAAATTATAATAATTTCATAGTAAAAATTTTTTTTGTTAATAATAATTAATTAAATTTGACT